AAGCCACTAAATAAATAGAAATAAAAAATAAAAAATTAAACAATTATATCGATATATCTAAATTAATTTCTTTATATAAGTACATGAGAGTGAAAACTTGGAAGTAAATATTTAAGTTTTCACTATAGCAAGTTTAACCCATAATAATATATATTACTGAAATTACTGGATCAATCATACTGATCAATGCCTCACGTAATATAATACTTCTTTAAAGGTTAAGTTTGCCACTCTTACACGGTCTTCATTTTTGATTATGCACTAAAGATAATGAAAGTATCGAACATATTATCAGACACTGGACAATTGTCCAAATTGTCCTATACAATATTACTGGACATTGTCCAATACTAACTATAACTGCGTCTCATAGGACAGGACAATTTGGAAATGTCTGATGTCCAATAAAAATCACCGGACATGTAACTTGCACAACCCTGGTCGATTCGTTTATTATTTAGATTTATTTGATAATGAACAATAAATTTTTAAAATTGAATAGCAGAAAAAGTTAAACTTTGGATTAAGAGAACCCTTTTATAGCAAACTCTATAATTATCTACGTAACCGACAATATATATCCTCATTCTGATAAAATACATATTGATTTTTTTATAAATACTATAATAATAATATATTTTAAAGCATATCTTTTTTAATATAAAAACCAGTTTTTATATTATTACTAGCAATAATTTATTAGTTCGATATTATTAGTTATTTAATTACAGTACTAAAACACGTGACTGTTCTTGTGCCTCGGTGCCAAATTTATAGATTAATTTATTTTTTTGAATTAAAAATAAAGATTATTGATTAATTTGTGAATGAATGTTAAAACCGGTTTATGTATTATTACTATTATTACTGAAAAAATTATCATATATTAAAAAAAGTTTTTTTTATGGTATAAAGTCACACCTAAAACTGATATTATTGTTTTATGTTTCACAAAAAAATTGGTACCAGTTTGTTATAAACCATCACTATAATTCACTTAATTGTATTGTACCACAAAAAACAAAGCATGTTGAATACGTATGCGAGCTAAGCCTCAAAGTACTGCGCGATAATACATATTTGCGAAAAATTAGGACCTGAGAATTTTTTTTTTGAAAAACAAGTTTTTTTATAAGAATAGCAGAGAACAAAGCATTTAATACATGTACTAAGCCTCAAAAATGCTGCACGATAATGCATCCAGTCTTGAAAAAATGTAAAAATTCTCTTTTTTGATTCATATAAACAAGTTTTCGTATAATCATTAAAGAAGATTGTTTACGATAAAAAGTTATGCAGAAATTGGATTTCAAAGAATTTATTTAAAATCGATAAAAGTACTTTTCAGGCTATGCAGAAATCGTATTTTTTGATAATAAATTGCAAAATGGATTTCTTCAATATCATTTGCTATCTTATAATATTTTTATATTTTTGTTATTTATATTCTATTATCGATTTGTTTATCTATATATCCAAAACTGAATCTTCTTAAGAAGTATTCGATTTGGTAAAGCAAATTGGCACAGATGAAGAAAACAGACTTAAAACAAAGATACTTGAATCAAATAATGAAACGAAAATTGAACACCTTGAATCAATAAAGAATCAAAATTTCAAGAATATAACGAAGAGAAAAACTTTAGCAAATATAGAGATTAAAAGACTTTTAGCAAAATTGGAGGCATTTGATTCATCATTAGCCAAAAACTGCTTTCAAATTATTAACAATTGCGATTGCGATATTGAAACTATTGAACTGAATATTGAATATCTTAATAACTATATTTATAACCAATTAATTCCGATATTTCGAATAGTAAAGAAGCAAAAGGGAAATAAAAAAAAAAACATTTTTTTTGGCAGAATAGAAAGTCTTGAATCTCGATAACTTAATACTTGTATTCAAATTTTGATATTTATAATTTTATTGAATCAAATATATCAAATATAGAATAGATGTACTTCTGGCAAAGTTTTTAGGGACGAAGAATTAACTGTATCACATAATCGCGAAATGTAATGCAGCGCCACTTCATGTGACCAATTATAATTGCGCAATTTTAAAATTGGTCATATGAAGTGGTGCTGCAACACATTTTACGATTGATATGGCTAATTCTTCATTTCTGAAAACTTTGCCAGAAGTGTCACTATCCATTTTATCTTTCATTTTTTTTAAAAAAATTACTTTATTTTTGTATAAATTTTAGTTTGTAAATTCTTAATATGTTTTAGATTAAAATGACTAGAGGCAAAATGGTTGTATTTCTTGTAATATTTTGGAATTTATTATCATCTCAATAAAATGAAAAATTAAATTAAAAAAATATATGACGAAGGTTTAAGCTATAATTTCAAGCAAAATTAAGTATAATTTAAATACAATATGTTAAAATTTTTGAAGCCAATTTAAAATATTCAAAGTAATATAC